TGCCTCCTCCCCGTGGCAAGGAGGCGGGGCCGTTGGGAACGACGTCACCTCAAGGGGCGGGGTCGCTAGGCAGGTCCCCGCCGATTCTCCCGAAACTCCGCCCCTTTTTTCTGGGTTCTCCAGATGGTTCGTGCTTCTCTCGGCGCCATTTTCTATCAGCGGCATCATGCGGCTGGCACTATTAATAAACGCCACTCTGGAGTTTTCTGCTGTCCACTCCAGCGATTCCTTGCCCGCCGTATGCATTTGAACCTCTAAATTTGCGTATTCCCTTAGTAGACCCACTACTGTACGGAACAACACATTCATCATCTTTCCCTTCTTCCATTTAGTTAAACCCCATTTCGGCACGTGACGGCCCTTGGTCTCCAGGTCCTCCTGGAGCTGAACGAGGAGCTCATGGCCCCGCGATCCAGGCACCAAATCCGGACAGTTGAACCAGTCCGTGGGGGTGGGTTCCCCTCCTTCCCTTAAGTATCGAGTGCATTGAGCGAACTCCTGAGCGGGGGTCAGCTTTTCTGCCTTCCGCGCCTTCACCCCGGCTAGGGATATGGCTGATGTTTCCTCCGGGGGTCGATAATAGACCCGATCGCTCCCCATTATGCATCCGAACTCCCCAAGGGATAGCTTAGTTCTCCACTCTTTTATGACTGCTTCTTTTTTTATGGAGAAGTAGCCATCAATATTTCTTTCATCCCCTTCTACCGCCTGATGCTAAGCGATATGTGCCCATAGATCGTTTGCATTCTCTACACGGCAAATCCTGGTGCGCCAAGGGCAGCACCCAATTAGGTTCATCTCCATCACCGTGCCCTTAGATCCCGTCCTCGTCGCCATGTCTCGGACGGCCAGAGCCGACTCGAGGTGATTTAGAAATTACTCGGTCGCTGGGCGGGCTGGTGAATGGAGGGGCAGACAACGCGTATTGGTTGCAAAGAGCTTTACTTACGCCGCTTGTAGCCGCGACGCAGGTGGTTCGGTCGCTTAAACAACTCCAAGAGTTGCTCCAGCTGGCAAGGCTCAGGCCAGTGAATTCGTCCACAAATTAAGCCGGCAGGGAAAGGGTACGTCGAAGGATTGCGCTCGGCGACGGGGAGAAGAATCGATAGGTGATCGGTCTATCGATTAGCTTAGCCGCAAGTCAAATCTCTTTAGAGGCACTCTGCAGCATACTCAAAGTTCTCTGACTTGGGCGGAAGTCGCACGAAATTTTAAACGGCTAGCAAGCCAATTACTAGCCGCCACATAGGAATAATTTAGAACTGGCCAATAGCGGGACACAAATTTGCATTCAAATGGCGGGAACTCTCTTGCACCGGGGTTTTCTGTTGCAGCAGAAAAACCTTTGCTGTGCAAAAGGCTCTCATGTGGCGGGAAAATTCCATCGTGCCGAGGCACCAAAATCATTGGGTTGTGACAACCTCAAGCAAGTCATATAAAATAGACTATACAGTTGGACAAAACAACAGAATTGGGTTCATCTGGTGCCTGTCCTATTATGGAGGGGGAAAAAAATCCCAAAGCATCTTATAGAATAGCAAGCTATGGTTATAATCAATACAAGAGTGGCATCAGAAGCTACATCCTCAAATATAGCTCTGTCAGCCTTGGACATTACTGATGAAGTAGTGATTGGCCAGAAACTAGTTATTCCCCCTCTCTTCTCTTTGAACAGTGGGGATTTTTGAACTTCTACCCAGACACTGGTGGAGTGTTAGCATTGGATACAAGCCCAAGTTCCCGTTAGATAACTATTTTCTATTGTAGCAGGAGTAGGAATTAAAGGTGACTGCCCAGCCAACATCATCAGTCACCAGGAGAATAACTCACTTGGTGCGAAGCTCATTCGTCACCCTTTCCTGAAATACTACAGTGAAAACTGCCCAAAACAAACAAAAAGAAAAGTTATTGTTCTGAACAGTCACAAGGAATGGAAAGTTCCTCTAAGGTGCAATTAAAAAAAGAAAAGAAAAAACAACCGTAGGAAAAAAATACTTTGCAATAAACTGAGATTATTAAAAAATGCTAGGTTGTCATGGAAACGGCTCGATGGGGGTCAGCCAGCCTCACCTTTGGCTGCAAGGCTCATTTGTCAATGCCAAACCACTGAAGAACACCACAAACATGCACACAAAATTCATCCTCCAAATCCTTCCCACTCTCATCTAGCTTACTAGGAAAATAAAGTTCTTTTCTCTGCAGAGGAATTCCTATCAGTTAGAAATGCACGTATTTAGTTCTGGAGCAAGCGTGCTCTTGTTCAGATCACAACTAGAAGACAAAACTGCTTGAAAAGAAAACAGCACTCTCTTCTTGCCTCCTTTCACCAGTCATCTTTTCTCTGGCAAAAAGTCAGATTATGTTACACTTCTGAAACTTTAAATTATTCAGTGTTTTAGTTCTTTTTTAGCACAACTGGCATTAACTGAATGGATCTCAGGATTAAATTCTCCACTCGTTTTTCATCTATTTCATTACCTTTTGTTCCTCCAGGGCAGCCATATTTAGCAGGCCACATACAAGCTGAAAAGGAGATCAATTTACTTAACCAATGTCACTGAGAAGCCAAAGAAAGGAAGTAAATCTGTTCTTGCTTCTCAAAGCTATTTGAGGGGAATTTTGCTGACCCGCTCTGTTTAACTGCAATAGTCTTTGAGAGCTCATCATTTTGGCATATTGCTACTTCCCAAAGAAAAATACTGTAACACAGAGATAGTCCTAAAGGGCTCAGTTCTTTTTCACCTACAGCAACCCCCCAGAAACAGGTCACACAATTCTTAAGGATACTTTATTGTTTTATAATCTCTGGGCAAATCATGACTCAGAGCTGGACCGTATCCAGATATAATTTTCAGGACTCCCTCTGGAATTCTTCTCCTTCCTGAAACCATTTCTGAGCAGATCATCAGACACAAGGTGGATCTATCACAGCTAGGCAGAGCAAGACTTCATAGGATGAAAAACAAATTTTGAGAAATATTTTTGTTGGGCACATTTCAACTGCTGCTCTAGTGTCAATTAGTGGCATTATGCAGTATGTACTAGCAAAATAAATGGATTTTTAATTTTTGTTTTCCGTTTCATCTTGTAGAAGTGGGCCCTGTACCTGAGGTGATGTAGTGGCAACATAAACTGTGAAACGTAATGGTACACATCATGAGTGACCAGGAATAACGGTCACAAGCTGGCGGAGGGAAGGTTTAAGTTGGACATCAGGAGGCGCTACTTCACGGTCAGGGCAGCTAGGGTCTGGAACCAGCTTCCAAGTGAGGTGGTGCAGGCTCCCACCCTGGGGGTTTTTAAGAGGAGGTTAGATGACCATCTTGCTGGGGTCGTTTGACCCCCAGTACTCTTTCCTGCCATGGCAGGGGGTCAGACTAGATGATCTGCCCAGGTCCCTTCCGACCCTAGAAACTATGAAACTATAAACTATGCAAGCATCTTTATAGCATATTCCCTGTAGTGCCTGGCACTTCACTGAGGACAGAGGGAAGCATTTCTTTGATGCAAACCTGTTTACGTTCAAAGTTGTGTTTCCCTGAATGCGTAAAAAAACCAAATCAGCTGGACACAGAATCTTGCTCAAAGCTCCAAGTTCCTTTCCAATTAATACCCTTTGCTAGCTTTTCTAAGAATCACATCCCCAGTGCCTACCCTGACCATGTCTTTAGGTTTTCAGCCTCTACTTTTCTTTCATAGACAAGCTGTCATAAAACAATAACCTGTGAATTTCCTCTGCCCACACATCTTACACATAACTGTTTTGGGTAGTGACACGTGTCTACCTTTGGGATGAGGCCCCTATTTTTTCAACTATCTGATTCCATAAAGAAACTTATTGAGTCTCCTACAGCTATCCCAAGTGAAGGGTTACAGTTATATGAAACCCATAAAAATATCATTTGTCCATTCTCCTAGCAAGGCTGAGAAAAGTACAGTTTCTGCATGTGTTGGTAATCTTTTACAGTTCTGTTAGGCTCATTTAGAACCTCTATTTTGCCTTTCTATGTACAAGAAGCAATTTATTTTAATAAGGTTTTCACAGAAATCCCTTGCTATGTTCTTGCAGTCAGAGAAAGCAATGGAACAGAGTGAAGACAAAAACCGCTGAAAATAATCCAATATGGTAGAAAATTATTTTAAATTAAATACAAAAAATATTCATAATAGTACTTTAGTTATTAACATTTTTCAAATGATTTCTATTGAAAAATAGATCTAGCTATGTCATTTCCTCATTTTTCCTCTACCTTTTCCAATAGAGACAGTCAGCATTTAACAGGTTGTTTTACAAGAATTAATTACCTCCCAATATTATTTTGCAGCTGTCTGACATGACCATCATCACAGATAGCAATTTCAACAGAGCACTGCAAAGATTTGGACTTCCCAAACTTGACAGCCTGACACTACATGCCCAAGTCTATATAGAAATTGTTAAAAGCTGTCTAATTTTCAAAGGCTGAGCAGTTATAGTTCTCAACCCAGTCACAAGGGTCAGTGACTGTTCTACATCTCTGAAAATGATACTAATTTCAGTGCCTCAAAGCTCATTCAGGTGCCTCAGAGTATGCCCCCAAGTTTGAAAGCTGGGGTGGGGGAAGTGAAATAGTGTCTGTGGTAGAATACAGGATCTCTTTAAAATACACTCCTATTTTCATTTGCTGGATCTTACTACTCAAAAGGGGCAAAAATGACACCATCTATTCCTTAGCCAGGACAGCAGGGCTTCTTTTTTGAAAATCAGGGGACAGTTAAACAGAAGAGCCCTTTAATAAAAGCAATTGGAAGTTTTCCAGGCATAAGCAAATCTTTAGAGAGCACAACACTTCCAACTTATATGCGCAAAAGAAAAATCTTTCTGGTCTACTGTTTCAAGCCTCTCATCATCATATCATCATCATCATCCCCCCCGTGCACTATCTAATGAACCTGACACTTTTCTGTTCAGAACTGTATTGAGTTCATTCTAAAATAATCTTTTAAAAAACAAAGCCTACCTTCTTTGCAGGTCTTTCCATTCTCCAGGAGCTGCACACCAGTGGGACATGCACAATGATAAGAGGACTTGGTAGGAGACATCAAACATAAGTGGGAGCAGCCACCATTATTAGTTCCACATGGGTTTGTCGCTGTTAAATATAAATCACACAGATTAATGCTTTTGATAACGAATGACTTCACCTCATGTGTCAAGACATATAAGGCTGCTAAGTTGCAAGAGTCATTGACAGCAAAGTGGATAAAGGAGGAAGTGATAAACACAGAATAAGCAAAAATTAGTTCCAAGTGCTGAGTATGTAATTACTTCAGCAAACTGCATGGACACATACAGGTTTCCCTTCTCTGGGAAACAGCATTTAGCTTTAAGTGGTACTCTTGCTTCATCTTTGCTTTTGTGAGTTTCAAAAACTTATGAGCAGCAAAGTGAGAAGGACCAGGTATACAGACACACAATAGAAGCATGACAAATTCACCAAAGGTTTAGGAGGGTGGTTATTTCATAGAGCTACTGTTATTTAACACCACCAGTCAGAGTAACTGATTTCCATTCAGGAACATTGCCTTTTGTATGAAATGCTCAAAAGGAAAAAAAATTACAAATACCTTATTGCTTAAAGTACCAACAAACAAAGGTAGGGAGGGA